ATTAAAAAACTCAAAAAGTACTATCCTAGTATAATCCAACAAGAGGCAAGTAAAATTTCTTTTATTGCATGAATACAAGTTATTACTTTGATTGATAAGTCTCATATTAGAGCACATGGTCTAGTGGATTTAGTTATTATAGATTTGCTTTATTAGAGCTTGTCCATGATAGGAAATCAAAATAGATTATAAGACAAGTAAAGTGATTCATTTCAAGAATTTATTAGAATTCTCTACATTCTTTAGCTCATATAAGTACACAAGTCAAGTTATATCATTAGAAATATACTTACGATTTCAGATTTTAGAAAGAAGAATTTGAAGAATATTAAGCACATTCATGATGTTTTAGGCTAATCTCTTATTATTGATGTAACCAAGATACAATCACAAGCTCAAAAGGCTCACCAATAGTAATGTAATTTAGTTTTTATAATTTTCTTAGAAATTATTTATGATTATAATAAGTAGCCATCTCAGCTATTTATGTAAGATATTTTAAATCTTCAACAAAGACTTCATGATATTATATAGCATGATAAACTATCTTATGCATTAATTAATATATCTTGAGAGCCATAGAGAATATTTTTTATATTTATTATTTTTTCTAATTTATATGAATTTTGTAGAGATAAACCAAGTACTATTTGAAATATAAGTAATATGAAATATGTCATTGACGAATTCAATGTAAATAAAAAGAATTATTCTATGAAATTCTTTACTAGTGCTATCTTATTGCCTAATCATTTTATCTCTTAGTATCAACAAAAGATGATATTTGGATTGGCAATAGATTTAAATTGTTTGTCATAGTTATTAGCTATTTTTTTAAAGAATAATAGCATTTACAAACTACAAAGCCATTTTGGTTATCATATTCAAAGATATAGACTACAATATAAAATCTACTACATCTTCAGAAGGATGATGTTGAAATTGGATACAAAGAGAGGCAACTATTAAATCCTTAGAAATGGTGGGATATATAAAAACCACTTGAAGGACATTTTGCTACATCTTCAAATGATTATGAGACCTTTGAAGAATATATTAAAAAATTATTTTTTAATAAAAATATCAAAATAATAAATTAGATAGAATTATTATTAGAGAGAAGAGTGTTTTTGGGCATGTTTAATACAAAGAATAAAAACTTTTTTTCCACTAGAATTGCATAGCAACTACAAAAATGCCACCAATTCTAAAAGAAAGTATACTACTATTAACAACAAAGAATTGAAAACCACATGTAGGGCTTAAAGAGAGAATAAGAAGATAAGAAGAATAAAAATTTCTAAAAGAATTTAAGGATTATTTTGCTTTTAGATTGAAAGATTTAGAAGTTTTTAAAGAACAAGAAATAAAGATTTATTTAGTAGATAATGCTTGTATTTTTTGCAAATCTTATAAGTATAGTAAAGCAAAAAATAAGTTGATAAAAGCTCAAATTAAGGAAATTTTGGATGCCAAATTGATAGATTTTTTTAATGAAAAATATGAATCAGTTATGTAATGCTTTTAAAAAAGACATCTTCGGCAATTAGATAGAGAAAAAAATTTGTGGTGACCATAAGCCTATCAGCAAAAAAACAAAGTCAAATAAATAAGCCTCGCCTACTTTGAAGAAATATTTGATATTATTAAGCATACACAGGTCTTTAGTATATTACATAAAGTCGTAATTGTCCATTCTTTAGATAATCTAAACAATTTGAATGAAAGGAGGCTCATTTATATATGAAGATATATAATAGAAAGAAACATGTAGTATCAAGGTAATAAAAATGTGAAAAGTTGGTGCTTCCTATTCATGAAGAGCTAAAATATTTTGGAATAAAAAAAAAATTATAGTCTTTTATAGAGTCAATATGAATAAATTGGTATGTAGGAAAAAATAAAATGGTTTGTTTTTAGCTACCAAGTATGTAATAAGGTCCATGCTTGATTTAATATATCAATATATATATTTTATAATATTTATCTATTATGGGCTTAAGATACCGTTGGAGTTTGGATTTTGCAAGGGCCTTATTTATCACTAAGAAGCATAATAAATATATATATTGGTGATGATTGGAAACTTCTCTAAATAGATAGAGTTTGAGTCATTATAATTAGAGCAAAGAGCTTTTTAAGTAAGTTTTAGACTTTAATGAAGCAAACATATATTGGTCATAGGACTAAATTGCATGATTATCTTAAAGTAGATGATTGAAGAAAACACATGGTAAAGACTATGAAGAGGACTTTTATGAAATATAATCTACAAAAAAGATATTATAGAAACTAGAATTTGTACTTATCTCAGTTGGCTATAAGATATATGTTTAGTAAGTAGGCTTTATTAATTATTTTTTTTTCTTAGTTTTATTTTTATAGACAAGAATCAATCTTATTAACTTTTGTTACATGTGATGTATATGTAGTGGTTAAAATAGCTGATTCCAATATGTGAAAAGAAATATGTAACATACTAGCAAAGTTGTTATAATTTATTATGTCAATGACAATTGATATCTTTGATTCCTAGCATCATAATACCTTAAGATATGCCACAATTACGAGAAGAAACTATAGACTATAGCTACAATGATTTGTATCAAATAATTATGTTTACTTGTAACAAACCGCACCAACAACATTATATGTGAGAATGGATTGAATCATTTTAAAGATTACAAAAGTCTTTTCAACTAGTATATTGGAATTGGAAGGTTGTAATGGACAAATTTAGAAGGATTACTCTTGGAATTCTATGCATTGTCATTTGACAAATTTAGATAGCATGGTAGATTCTAATTTGAATATAATTTTAGTTAACATAAAGTACATGGTATGTGAGAGAATTTAAGAAGTTGCTAGAATGATTTTATATAATGTTTGTTCAATGAGTTGGCATATGAAGTATATTATATCACATCTAGATGAAATTTTTATTAGTAGATGGATTTTTCCATGATATATGGGAAGATCGATAGGAAATTATTAAGTTGATAGATGTTACTTTGACTATTATTACATGACTTTCAAATTAAGTTGACGTTGATTGGAGTGAACTATTATGAAAGGAGCTTCATTAATGGTATAAGAGGTAAGTAAAGAAGACCTAATTGATCTTAGCTTTGTTAAAAATATATGTATACTTAGAGCTACTTCTATTTTTCATTTTGATGAAGTTTGTATGTGATTGTTCTACCTATTTTTTGATTGTGGTAGATATTAAGCTACAATTCAAACTAAGTGTAGATTGGTATTTTATGGTGTATTTATTAACATTGCCACTTACATATTAGAGATATATACTTATTACTTTAAGTATGTTAGTACAGACATAGTTTATATAGATTTTAGATCTCACAATGTGGTATGCACATGATGTGTTGGTGCACAACACCAATTATAGATATAATTAATATATCCATATTCTAATGAGTTTTGTATGTAATAACATAATATATATTATATATTATATATTTACAAAAAAAAATAAAAATTTTACCTATATATTTTAAAATAAAGATTATTAATATTTTTTATTATACTATTATTAATCTATTGTTTTTGATATTTTTTCATAGACATTCTTTGATGTGGCTATTATTTCGTAATTAAATTATTAAATGTACATGAGGGCATACTTTGTTTTTGGTCTCATGCTTGATATTTTAGTGATGTTGTGTGTATTTATTTAATTAATTAATTAACTAATTTCTTTTTTTTTCTTGTTTATTGTATTAATTTTTTATTGAATATAGAATCATATCTTGTGCCATTATATATCTTAGTCATAGAAATCTTTATCTTTTCTTACATTAAAATTTCATCTATCCTATCATCACAGTATGTTTAATAAAAATTTTAGAAATTGTTAAAATTATAATCTTCTTTGATTGATATATATATATATATATATATATATATATATACTTATATTCCATAAAAAATAGAGCATGTATCAATAAATTACATTTATATTATTACATTATGTATAATTTGTTGCATAAAGTATGCAAATAAGTTTGACTTCTATATTCAACATTTTATCCTTAATTTCTCTTCATTTATATTGAACACAAAGTTATTGATGAATTTAACAAATTATAATAAAAATATTACAATTCAATATTAACTTCAATATTTTAATAGAAAATATTACAATTGATTTTTCAAAATATATTATCATGCAATATGTTCACAATGAAAAAACAAAAAAGAAGTTTGGGCATGTAATTTACATGTTTTTATAAGAAACTATATGTTTTGGTATGATGTTATTATTCAAGATGTTTTAGTGTCATAACAAATATTTTTTAAATTTGAAATTGTATTTCAATAAAACCAATGTCCAATGACATATGATTCAAGTAAAATAACTCAGAATCTTTGCTATTTTTCTCAGAATAAATCTGACAACCATAATAAGAAAAAGTAATGTTGATTACAATCATAATTTAAACTTACTCAAAGATCCAAAGGTGGCGGTTATACATTACTAAGCTGAAAATATTATTTTTATGATTTATTATTTTATTAAAAAACCATAATTTTTTTATACTCAATATCCCCAAATAATACTTATGAAAATTCAATGTCATAAAAGTGGGGGAAGAATACAACCAATAAAACAGGATTCAAAAAGAAAAAGAAATAGAAGAAATATTCACTGTATTTCCATTCTTGAATAAAATGCAAAGATATTTTTAATTTTTAATTTAATTTAAATTTTTAATATCCCTGATATTAAAGAAATTCATGTTGAATTTTTTGAAATGTCTCTCAAATACATTTGTAAAATGCACACCTACGTATCACACATACAATTTGAATACTATTTTCTTACAACTTATATGAAACAAAAGGCACTCGAATTTCCACAACACATGTCCAAAATGGGCACTAGTGGGCGTTAAATTGGTTTATTATTTCCTCTACACCCAGCTTAACAAACCAAGTTCCCATGTTCCCCTGGTATTTAGGAACAGTCATTCGGCTCATGTTCCCGCGATCCCTATCTGGGAACAGTGGTGTCACACTCATGTTACTATTAGTTACTATTAGTGAGTCGACTCGGGCGCTTCGGCAACGAGGGTGCTCGTCTCGACTACCGCAGCAGCATTCGATTGCTTGTTTGCTTGTTTTTGCGATCTAATTGTAAGAATTTCGTGCCTGTATGAGCTCAGAATTCATTCTCACACGTACTAGATCATCGAATTATGTCTCCAGCCTCACCTGACTTCGGTATTATATTTGAGTTTTAATCAGGGTTTGGGCAATGGCGGATGATGATACCCATTCCTCTTCCGTCGAAGACCGCGTGCGAGCGGCGCAGGTCGAGGCTCGTGCTCGCCACATCTCTCACAATGTACGTTGCCTCGAGTGCGGCCATCAGTCTATTGAGGAATCAGCCGCCGATATTGCCGTCCGCCTTCGCAAGGTGCACGTTCATTACCCATTTCCCAATTGTTTCCACCTTCTCGCTCCTCAATTACGATTCGTTTCTTATTTTTCGCTCTCTTATTCTGCGTACAGGTAATTCGAGATGATATTCGAGCAGGCAAAACAGACAATGAAATTTATGAACGGCTCACCACGGAGTACGGCGAAACCATCCTCTACTCTCCGGCCTTCGATGCTCAAACTGCTGTCCTCTGGTTGGGTCCTGTAAGATCACGCCATCTTACTCTATCTCGACATATAACCGTTTGATGTGGTATTCTGCATCGTGAAAATTGCGTGTTCTTTAGGTTAGATCTGTTTTGGCCAATTTTTACGTTGCCCCCCTTTTTCCTCCCCTATTTGAATCGTAAATTCCACTTGGTACTACCTTGTTGATGAATTTGTGACTGTTGGCACTTTCGTGGAGAAGCTTAAGAAAGGCTTTGACACTACTACTTGTATTATTATGGACTAGGTTGCCATTATTGGAGCTATTGCAGGAGCCACATTTTATCGTGGAAGGGCGAAGCAGCGGGATGTGGGTAGAATGGCGGATGCTCTCTTTGAAGGCATCCCGCTTACCCCAAGTGAGCACCGAATGCTTAAGTCATTAGTACTACCCCCTTCTCAACGAAGAGCATGGACATGGCCTAGTCTCTGGAAGCTGTAGCTGTCGGCTGCCAAATTCCAACCCAAGAGTTTGAAATCCAAGAGCATGTATGCTTTCAGATAAAGCCATCTTTTTATCCCATGATTTGTGCACGTTCTTGCGTTCTTGTTCTGTTGATTGATTGGTGCTTACTCCATGCGGGATTTTTCATACGACTAAGGCAATAACGAAGTGCTACATTTTTTGTTCTTTTAACCAAATGTTCCTGTAACTTCTGTAGCTGGCGAGGTTGTTGATTTGATCTAAATGCTTTCTGTAGCAACAAGAGCATACGGTGTATTTTCAAACAAGTTTCTTCCCTCACCCTCAACATCCTCGTAGGTTCCAGCTATCCAAATATCCCTGCCTTTGTTTACAAGATTACTAAAGTATAGCGAGGAGACGGTTGATCTGAATCTTTTCAATGTTCTCAACCAGTGAGTGCTTGCTTAGTAATCTTCTGAGGTCCTCTCCGTGGACCTTATAAATCTGTTAAGCTAGGAGGACATGCTCCAAAAATAACAACACAACGATTCCAACAGGATAAAAGTGTTGACAACATTTTAATTGAAATTGACCTTGTGTACCTCGCTACCTCCATTTTCAATCGATGCCTTGCTTGTAAAAGCATGTGGAGAGGAATCTTGTTCCACAAACTTGTTGCCCTTTCCTCTTTTCGTAATGGTCTTGTGAATCTATAAACCTGTATTCATGACAGTTTTGCAGTTTTTGATGACAGTCATCAAAAAAAAATCGCTGGAAGGTTTTCAGTAGCCTCAGCATGTTTGTGAGGCTGCATGGATGGAAATGGAAGGAAGCATCACCCTCTATTACTGCACTGTATTTCCTGATTACTGGCATAATTTGGTGGTCCTTTACGAGAAGTGGAGCTTTGGGTCCTAAGAACGCGTCAGCAATGCAGTCAGTGGCCTAGTTAACTGACCATTGTAGCTGATTATAGTAATGGCTGTTTGGTGCTTGTTACAAAAGCTGCAGTATTTCTAATGTCCATTTGAATTATCACTTGTTCGTTTTATGACTTTGGTCCCAAGCAGGTAGAGTAGCATGGAGTAGTTGCGTTGCCCGATTCGGGATTACAGCCCAATTTCCTATTTTCTATTAAATGCTTAGATTAGGATTAGGATGAAATTGGAACAATCCTATTGAGAAGATTGAAAAGAAGAGCTTCATTATGTTTTTGGTTACTGTTTACGATGTTAATTAAAGTGATCTAATTATACGAGTTCTTTAAATTTTCGATCAGCCATGTCATAATATAAATAGGTACGGAATTAAGTCAATAATAAATCATCCGAGTCAAGGTTGTGTTTATGATAATTTGTCAGTATTAACATGGCAGACTTGACGTTTAATAATGTGCAAACGATTAAATTTTCATATTGTTCGTATAATCGCTTATAAAAATTAGAATTTGTTGTTATTTGAAATAACATATTGTATAATTACATATTATTCTTGCAATATAAACTTAGAATATTAGAAGGGTCTTAGACTTCTGATTTAAATAACATGAAACTAATAATTGTTCTTTTAGTTGATTTGCAACACTTCTGATCAAACTTAAAAATTCAAAACTTTTGATCTAACTCATACTTAAATTTTGAAGTAACAAATGGCTAGAATTGTTATTTACAAAGATACTTATGTCTCCAACAACATAAATTTGATATAAAATTCAACACCTACAGCTTTACTTTGTGTATCAATATTAAATTGTGATTTCCAACCTTTCTTTCTAAACGACTCCTTGTAATACACCACCCCGTTCAAGAAGCAACAGCTCGATAATAAAGAAAACATTAAGCGAGTAAAAGCAGTTAACCCATACCGTTGTGTGAGGAAAGAATTGCCGGAATGCAAAAAAATCAGGTGGAATAAAATTGTGAACCTCACTGTCCTGAGTAGAAGTGCACAGTGAGTGGTCAATATTTTTCTCAAACATCATAAGCGCCCGGGCCTGGCAAATCCTCAACCTCTCTATGCCATCGAGTACCTTTCGTGAATTTGATGAACGGAGGATTTGTACGTTTGGAGTTAACTTGATTACCCTGTCAAATACAATCGTACAACTTCTCACAGCACATCATTTACATACTTCAGGAAATATCCATTCAAAATCGTGCTAGGGAATGGGTGAAAGGTACTAGAGTTTGGTGTCGAACACGCTTCTAATTGAATTTAACGAGGTGTGTATTGGATGGGCGAGATACTAGAAGTACAAGAAATCTGTGAAGGAATTCGTGATATGCATGATAGAAAGTGCATGATGTGATCACGTACCACAGAAGACGTTTGCCCAAATTGTCCAGGTCCATTTGATATCTGTCCCACACTTGATTTCTCATGCTCTCTTGATATAAATGTCTGTCATGAGAAAAAAAACATCACAATAGAATGTAGGCCAAACTGCCAAACTAGTTATAAGCATGTGCAACACAGGAACTCGTTGAATCGCGTTAGAAACGTGAACGGTATTTGTTCAATACATTGGTCGAATCTAGAAACAGATATGCATTATCGTCTTTTTAAAACCGGGATCTGTTTTCATGCTGAAATCTGAAAGGGCAGTCTGACCCATTTCCAACTGGCACTCAAAATCTGCGTGATGGAGGTCCGTTACCTTATCCCTTGATTCTCGTGTGCCCAGCGGGAAGCTGAAAGATGGTAAGGTAATCCTATGAGATTCAGATTGCTTTCCAACTGACCCCTTTATTGGGTATTCTCCTGGTCCAGCAGATTCTCCTCCTCTGTCCCTCTAGTTCAGTTTCCAAGGGAAATTTGCCGTTATGGACGTGGTTAACATCAACGTAGTGACAAAAGTTTCTATGATTCGAAAATGACAGTTTTCAATGAAAGTCTTGAGAAGGAAGAATCTGAGCAATGGGATTGATGTCTCACGGGACATATTAGAATATCGGACCAAAATGGTAAATACCACATTTCTCAGTCCTTTAGTGAAGTTGACGATTGGAGCAGTTCGATTTCCAGATCGATTTTGAAGTCCAAAGGCAGATTTTTGAGGACAATCTGGACCCGGTGAAACTAGTCCCCACTTTTCCTGTACATGATATCAAATTCTTGTTAGTAGCATGCAAAAGCTGCTGACTTCCTATTTATCGATCCTTCAACAATCGAGATACCATTGATTCATTCTTTATAATAAATCTTAAACCCTTTTTCTGCTAAAACACGAATTAGTTTGTGTGCGATGATTTTCACATTGGGTTACCTTGTCAAAATCCCTGTGCACGAACATCTTCGTTAGTGCTGCCCTTGATCCCGTTGTAAAGGCTGTTTTTTCAGGAGATCTTTTATTTGATTTTACCTATCATTTTTCCAGTTTCAAGGGTAGGCATACTGCTAACGTTACTCGAAGAAGTGGTAGCACTGAAGCAGATAAGCACAGGCACATGACATTCTCTACTCTGATTTCACAGTGTTGACCAATACAAAATCATCGAGGTCTTCACAGGAGATATTATAATCAAGTAGGTTTCCATACCTGTTCACCAAAAGCAGATCCTCTTGGATTGTATGCTCCAGGTCCAGGCGCATTATCCAACACTCTCTGCAGGATCAAAACCGCCATGAGAACAAAGAGAGCAAAACCTTAAAACTGGCAGGAGAACCTTGAAATAATAAAATTTTGAATTTTTCAAGGTTCTACTCAGAGATCTGTGCTTATACTTACTCTGAAAAAGCGTTTTGCAGTCCCAATTTTAACTTCAGCCTGAGACTCATAGTGCGATTCAGTTTGTTTTCCAAATGATGAACTCAGCTTGTAGACAGGACCTGTTCAAAATGCAACACATAGCGGATAGAAGGTTCCTTAATGATCTTTATTTGCCCTCGGTGATCTTTCAACAGCAGCAAATAATATGACAAAAATTAAAAATTAATAAAAAAATAAAGAAAAGAAAAAGAAGAATGAAAGAAAGTTTCATATAAAAATTAAAATTTGGAAACTAAGCATCTCCAGTACTTGTTTGAATTGACCAAGATTGCGTTGAGATGCTTTAATCTAAGCTGAATTGGACTAAATGGGACCCTAATTCAGCATGACAAGAATCTGAGCTCTTGTTGGCTTCCGACGTCTTTCCCTCAACTTTCATGTACAAGATTCTATTACTTCCCTGACTTTTTAAACCTAAATACATTATCTATAACAAGTATGATGTATGAAGCTGCTCATACCTGGTGACACAACTACAATGCAATGTTATGCAAGACAATACAGGAGCGAGGCAGGGTTTTCTATATGCCTAGCAACATGTCAGCCAAGAATATGGTTCTTGAAAATTCATACCAGGACTGTTGTTCCCTGGTGCTTTGGCTGCCATTTCGTTATTGACGAACATCTGCACACTCGAACTTCGAGCAACTGAAACGTCTACTTAAATATCCTCATAAATAACTCCACCAGTCACCACAAACTGGAACCTGAGAATCAACCTGAGAATTTTGAAGATCCTCCTAACCTTCCGTCAGGGTAAAGAGCTTGTTCTTACTATTATCAACTCTGATGCAATCATACCTTTTGAAAAGCGTAGCGACTGCCCGTGCCAAATCCAATGCAAGGCGACGTAATCCTCTTTGACAATATCTGCATCGTAAAATAAATCATCCGAACTTTGTAGGACTATATGGAGGCAAATAGTTGTCCAAATCAGTCCCAGAGAAGGAAATTTGTTGTAGAGCTACAAGGGTAAGATCTGAACCTGTGGGCCAAAACATGCCGACTTGGTCTTGGTTATGAGCTTTGGACCAGGTTGCCAAGTCCTGTCTAGGCGGAAGGCTTCCCAATAAGGTACCCTCTCAGGCTTCTTTTCTGTCATTGTGTTAGATTTTCAAATACACCTGCTTCTGTCAGGTCCTAGAAATCTCATTCTCTCGAAACCTCTCCTCGATCATGTGGCCCCTTCCTCCTCTTGGTTTCAGACAACGCTGACCATCCTGTGCATCGGATACTACGATTTATCATATTATTCATCGACTAGGTGTTGCCTCCTGCATCCCATGAACAAGTTCGATACACCCGATTCTGCTTCCTTATCTGAAAGTTCCATCGTCATGGATGAAAGGTGTCCATTTCTACAGTCTCTTCATGCTAACATTGGAGAATCAGCTACTTTTGCTCTCAAAGTATCAGAACTGTCCCAAATCTTTCCCAATAAACGTGCCTCAAGCAAGGCAAACAGAATTGTAAATGTCGCGTAACCCTCTGCGACATGTCATCCGGCTCCCCTGAGGTCGCATACGTCATCATCGTGTTTCCTACACAAGCCCTGTTCAAAGCGAAAATTCGTCTCCACAAATTTATACCGTGCAAGGGCTGATTAGGGACAACCATAGGGACAGAACCCCTGAACCAATAGTCGGTTCATGTACTTCAGGGAAGTTATCTGCGTATGAAAACATCAAGTAATTAGGCTCATTTAAAAGGAAGGATATTCCCTATGGCTATTAGTCCTAATTTAATTTGAAGTGTCTCTCATTAGATTGCTGCTGTAGTTAAGAATGAATGGTAAATGTCCTCTATTCTGCAGACATGTTTAAGAAGATTGCACTTCAATATTTACGGATCTTCAAACAGGACGCAGCATTTCGAAGTTTTCAATCCAACAAGAAAAGGACTCCGGAAGTTTGGTGAATACAAATTGTTCTTTAAGGCCAATGACTACGCGTGAAGTAGCACAATCAACAAACCTCTTCGTCTGACAATTGTGCAGGTAACTTATCGGCATGGAAATCATCGGTCCACTATACTTAGTAGATACGGACCTCCCATGAATACATACCCAAAATTGGCATTCTCCTTCGTCTAAGAGAAAAAATGGCACAATCAAATTTGGAACGACACTCAAAATCACGGAGACAGGTAAGAAATGCGAGGGTGACGAGATCGTTATTTGGTAGGACGCTGCACTCCGGTGAAGGGCCCAGTGCGGTGCCTCAGCAACGCCGGCAGGCATAAGAGCGATAGGGCGGGGTAGCAAAGGGTGACGAGCAGGGATGCCGGTTCAAGTGCATGAGGGAGATTCTTTCGATCTCGCGGCTTCGCCAGCTTCGTTACAGAGGGAAGCAAAGAGAGTACGCCAGAACGCGAAAGACTCCTCGTCAGATTTGGCTAAATATGGCAACGAAGGGTTTTACCTATTGAATTCCCAAACGCAGGCATCCAGTGTTCTTCCTTCTGTAGCCAATTCTCGCCAACTTCTATGATAAGGGAATTCGCCGCTGTCCCCACAGCCCCCTGAAGCTCCAACAACAACAACCATTCTAATACCCAGTAACAAATCCTTAGTTACGGGACTACGACACCCCAACATCCGTCCAACGTCCTCTGCAACTGCGGAGATATTCTCCGAAGCAGCAGTTCCCGTGTCGCTCCTTGTCAGTTCCCACAAGCGGGAACCATCTTTTTTCTTCTCTGCCTTATGCATCCATCCCTCTGCCTCGGGCGCGTTTACTTGACGTTTATGTTCTCTGGCACTGTGTCATCACAATTTCAGGTGCAATTATACAAATCCTATGCTTCTTTCTCACTGTTCCTGATTCTATGTGCTCTGTTTACCAACTGAAGGTTGATATCGTAGTTGTTAAGCTTTCGTTTTGTTTTACGGCGATTTTGGGTTCAGTACCTTTTCAAGCGGTTCTTGTACATTGAGCCCTAGGTATCTCTACAGGTTTAATGTTAGCGCACTGTGAGAAGTAATCTCGAAAGTTTGTTTTGAAGTTAATTGTGGCTGAGCTTCCTCTGATGTTTATTAGGGTTTCAGATTTTGGTGAAATAAAACCTGTAGTTATTTGGAGTTTGTTTAATTCTTTGAGGACGAGTTTTGAGGAGAACAAGTCTTTGAGTTGTTAACCGCTGGGTTCCTACTGAGTTTTAATTTGAAGCTGCATTTCAGGCTGCGACTATTCTGTGGATGTAATGTAGTGGTGGTTCAGATTTACCTTCCAAAATGGCGCAGTGTGGCACTGCTCTAGTCCAATTCTCATTGGCAAAGTTACATGGGGATGGCTATGGAACTTCTCGAGGTTTCTCCTCTGTCATGGTTTCCTACTCTTTCGCCAGCCTTCTATCGCTCCCTCTTCCATTAAATGTTGGACTAAGGTCGTGCTCCATGAGGAAGATAAGATGCCACAGAAGCACGGGAGAATTCTTACTTCCAATTATCAGTAGATTGCCTGTGGGGAGATGTCCCCAACGAAGTCCTCGAGGACAGGTGCGTGCTGCAAGTGTGAGGAACGAATCAGAGACATCGGCACCAAATTCAGTAGCAATCGATGCTAGGGATTTGGGACTGACTGTCACTGGAGACAAAGGCGAGGACGTCGTTGTTCTGAAAGGATGTTCAATGCAGATACCAGAAGGGCAACTGTGGATGTTGCTGGGACCCAATGGCTGTGGGAAGTCCACCCTCTTGAAGGCGTTGACAGGACTCTTGCGGCCAAATCGTGGGAAGCTGTACATTGTAGGACCTCGCAGCTTTGTGTTCCAGAATCCTGATCATCAGGTTGTGATGCCAACAGCGGAGGCAGACGTTGCCTTTGGGTTAGGGCACCTGGACCTATCAGAGGAGGAAGTAAAAGCGCGAGTGCACAGCTCATTAGAAGCTGTGGGCATGAATGAATATGGGCAGAGACCTGTACAAACCTTAAGTGGTGGCCAGAAACAAAGAGTGGCAATTGCTGGTGCATTGGCTGAGTCGAGCCGCGTGTTGTTGCTGGACGAACTCACTACCTTCCTTGATGAATCAGACCAGATGGGAGTTTTGGAAGCAGTGCGAAATGTGGTCGGAGGATCAGTCACCGCATTGTGGGTGACTCATCGTTTGGAAGAACTGGATTACGCCGACGGTGCTGTTTACATGGAAAACGGCAGGGTTGTGCTTTCGGGGGCTGTGGAAGAGGTGAAACGTTACATTCTTAAACAGCAAGAGGACATGAGCAGGAATGGTGCGTTGAGATAGTATTTCGGGTGAACCAGGCTTTGTCTCAGCTGCCGACGATCTGATCAGGCCTTTTGAACCCTCCCCGACCTTGTTTCCAGGTTTTGTAGTTGCAAAGGTTTTATTCACATTCAAAGTATTCAGTCGTCTGCACTCAAGAAATTGTACAGACGCTTGTAGAGCAATAGGACGCTGAGCTGATAACTTCCCCTTGCAATCTGTTGTCATTTAGTAGGTCTTTTTGGCAGCATTTCCAGCTCCCAAAGCCGCTGCTGAATGATTGTAAATTTCGGAATCACAACAACCATTGATATAGTGCTTCCTACGAGACTCGCTTTCACAGCTTATTTGTACCTTGAATGAGATTTTAGTGTCTCTTCTCACATCTTCAGTCAAGATTGAGCTTCCTCACTTGCATGAACTGAAGATACACTGTTGCTAATAAGCTCAACATTGTTCTTGGAGACTTAGAACTGTGGCCATAACTACTCCCCTTTCTTTCAAGGATTTGTAACAACTTTGTGCAATCTCTTGCATTGTACATACTGGGTTCACTCTTTTCTTCCATGGCAGCAGCTATTGACGATGCACCCACATGGCAACAACACGAACTTGCAAGCGCAGAAATGAAACAAACAAACAAACCTCGGAGTGCAATGCAGCCTGCAGCATCATCAGAGCTCTTGCTCAGTCCTACTTGGAAGGACATAACGGGATCTTGTTTGTGGAATAAGACATTTCTCACATTCGCAGAGCAATGACCTGCTCACCCTTGCAATGTTTCACTACCAAATAATATACTGAAATATACTGATGTTGGAGATTGATTCATGTTGCCTATTGAAATAAACACTGTTACTAATGGAAGCTTCAATTGTATCAACATACTCTTGGGGTCAAATTTCATAATAAATATTAACTAAAGGTATACTTTCAACTTATATAGGTGATAGGAGAATATTATTGTAGTATTCTAGTAAGTTCCATCATAAGGATTTATAACTTCAAATATATGTATATATATATATATATATGAACATGATTTTTTTATTCAAGTAATGTTTATTTTCTATACATATAAAAATATGAAATGCTCACTAAAAGATACATTAGAAAATCTAATTTCTAATATACCTTTTTTTATATATTTAAAAAAAATCAAAAAATATATATTTTAAAATAATTTGATAAATTAAAAAAATTAGGAAAAAAAAATATTTTTAAATTGATGATCTATTAAAATAATATTTATAAAAGTATATACTAGAGCTTTTGCATGCTTATGCAAAAAAATCATGCATTTTAGAATAAATGTTAGAAAGTCATAATTTTAGATATACAAAATATAAAATATTATATGTATACAAATAATTATTTTTTTAATATTTTAAAATTTTATTAAATAAATCGCTATAAATTATTTATAAATAAAATTAAAATAATAAATATTTATAAATATATATATATACATATATATATATATATATATATTTATTGATAAAAAAATACAATGTTAACTTTGGCACTATAATTTTTTTCATATATCAAAATGTACAATATATCTTCTTTAATATAGTTCCATTTAAGATGAATGTGTCATTATATGAGCCTATTAAGTCTATCCATTAAATAAAGGATGAAATCCTAATTGTTGTAACTCTAATAAATAAATAACATAAATTTTCTAACTAATATTCATATCAATATTTTCCTTCAAATTGGATCTAGTCTAAATATATAATTTTTTATCCTTTTATTTTTTATTTTATTTTGTGTCATGATTATGTTCTAATAAATGATTTGATTTTGGAATGTTACACTAAAAGTGCTAGATGTGTTAAAGATCAAAACCATGATGTCGGGATAGAGAGAGTTTGCCTATCAAGGACAAGAACATGATAAAAATAAATAAACAAGTGAGACTTCTCTCAAAGAAAGATGACAAAATAGAAATAATTCGATATGTATATTAAGAAAGAAATTGGAATGGCTATTGCCAAAAGCCAAGAAAACTAGAGACCCTTAAAACTAGACTGGAAGCAAGAAAGGAGTTGACAAGAGTGAAGAAGACTTCACTCTTGTCTCTATATACTATTTAACTAGGGGCTAGGTTGTTGTACTGTAAAAGCTTATAGTATGTAAAAATTAATTAGAACATATAATATGTTCATAAGTCTTGGTGTATGTTAGAATGGTTAATAGATTAATTTAAAGAGAGTGGATTTAAGAAACTTTATTTTGAATTTTATCTTTTTTGATTATAGCATTAAAAAAAAATTGTAAGACCTAAATGTTTAGTATAAAGCCTTGAGAGGAGATTAGAGCCTAAAGAAGAAAATCTTAACTACTAGGAGGCTTATTGGGAGGAATGAAAGCAAGGCATGGTTGGATGAAGGCAAGGAATGGAAAACTTCATTCCTATTGGTCAAAGGCCATGCCCAATAGGCTTCAAGGAGGTTGCCTGAGGCCTTATTAGGGATTAGGGTTTTTCTTTCAAAGTCATTCGAGCTTTGGAGGCTAAGGTGAGCAAGTTCAAGGTTTTGGATATAATTTGGATGAAGAGTTTTTGTGATTTCGAGTTTTTTTTGAAGGAGATACAAGTGTTCAAAGTTAAGGTGTCAAATTTGTACCTACTGTCACTCTTTGAAGCATAACATGTGCGTACAAAGAGCAATGAAAGATCGGTGACTAGAATTAAAGAGGGAACTTTCTTAGCTACACTTTACATATAATTTTTGATGAATTTCAAGTCTAGATAAAGGAGTTATAGATATTTGAAGACAACACATATAATTCAAAGGTAGAAAGTGAGTCATTTTGTTGATAGTAATGATTGGAGCCATATCTTAAATTTTTGGGCGAATTTTTGGCTCAAAATTTTTATAAGTGTGAGGTATTAGGTTAAGAAGCTATAGATAAAAGTTTCATGGTATTTGAATACTTATTTTGTGAGATATGAAGAAATTAGCACATGGGTGTATGTAAGCTAGGGTTTAAAGCTACTGTTAGGGTTTTGGCGATATCTCAAGATCCGTAACGAATTTTTAATTGAATTTTTTTGTGAAAGTTTTTGAAAGTAGATTAGTACTTTATGAAAAATTTAGAGTTGTTTGGATGGTCCAATCGTGAGATATGAGCTGTTAAAGTTCAAAAAACATCTCTCATAAGGATATATAAGGTTTTAAGATCTTTATCTTATATTTGGGTGTTTTCTTAGTACTTGGGCTTGTGTTTTGATGTAATTGCCAAAAAAAAGGAAAAATATTATATATATAAACTTGGTATTTTTATATCTTAGACTTGATTGAGTATTTAGTGGCAGCCAAAAGCCTAGCACTTTCTTGAGGCAAACTCTCTCTACCTCGACAACGTGGTGATGTTCTATAGGACCCCCAATATATGTTGACTTTGTAGGACACATGCCTTGACTTACAAGGCAAGTTTTTCTACATGTGGGCCATATAGTTAGCTTGGTCTTCAAGCTAACAGCATGTGTGGCACATGGCTAACTTGTTGACTACATTTTTAATCTAAAATGTCAATTAAAGACACCTGTAAAGTCAATGCACTATCTATTAAGCTTCTAAGAAGCTTTCATAATAAATATTATAGAATTAAATTACTTTTATCTACTTTTACCTACTTTTACTTACTTCTATCTATTTATACATGTAATTACAAGCTTACATGCATATGTTCGTGACATTGCTTCAAGAAAGCGTTAGGCTTTTGGCTGCCATTAAATACTCAATCAAGTCTAAGATATAAAAATATCAAGTTTATATATATAATATTTTCCCTTTCAGAGCAATTACATCAATACATAAGTCTAAGTGCAAAAAAAATATCCAAATATATGATAAAGTATCTTAAAACCTTATATATCCTTATGAGAAATATTTTCACAATCAAACTGTCTTAACAATCTTAAATTTTACATGAAGTACTGATCTACTTTCAAAAACTACTACAAAAAATTCAACTACAAATTCATTACGGATCTTGAGATATCACCAAAATCCTAATAGTAGCTTTAAATCCTAGCTTATAGATACCTTTGTGCTATTTTCTTCATATCTTATAAAATAAGTATTCGAATACCATAAAATTGATCTATAGCTTTTTAATCTAATAATTCACACTTCTAAAAATTTTGAGCCAAAAATTCATCCAAAAACTCAAGATATGGCTCCAACCATTACTATCAAGAAAATGACTCACTTACTGCCTTTGAATTACATGTGGTTTCTTCAATGCCCTATAACTCCTTCATCTAGACTTAAAATTCATTAAATAGGATATATAAAGTATAGTAAAGAAAGTGTTCTCTTGTCACGGACATACATATAATTACCTATATGAATAGATAAAAGTATGTAAAAGTAGGTTAATTGTGTAATATCTTCTAGAGAAGCTTCTTAGAAGCTTCATAGACGCTGCTTTGACTTTATAGGAGTCTATAGTTGACTTTTAGGTTAGAAACTTGGTCAACAAGTTAGCCATGTGCCACACATGTTGGAAGCTTAAAGAACAAGCTAACTACGTGGTCCATCCATAGAAAACTTGCCTTGCAAGCAAAGGCATGTGGAAGCTTAAAGAACAAGCTAACTACGTGGTCCATCCATAGAAAACTTGCCTTGCAAGCAAAGGCATGTGGCCTAGAAAGTCAACATATATTGGAGGTCTTATAGAACATCGCCATGTGGCTTCTAGTTAGATAGTATATATAGAGGCAAGAGTGAAGCCCTCTTCACTCTTGTCAACTCCTTTCTTGCTTCTAGTCTACTTTCAAGGGTCTCTAGTTTTCTTGTATTTTGGCAATAGCCATTCCAGTTTCTTTCTTAATATACATATTTCTATTTTGTCCTATTTCTTTTTGAGAAAAGTCTCACTTACTCTTTAGCTTTCATCGAGTTCTTGTCCTTGACAGATTGACAAGAGTACACTTACAATATCAGAGCTTTGTCTTTTCTTGATTAAGAGTGGATTACCCCTTTTTCTTGATAAGACATAAGCGCATTAGAAGTTGCGGATTACCCTCTTTTAAACTGATATTGTTCTTAGTATTTTCTTTGTTATCAATTCCTCTCTTCTATTTGTTTTGAGCGTTGTTAGACATCTTCTCTTTTCTAAGTGCTACTATGGCAGAGCTTGTTGAAATGAAGAGTGCAATGGCACAGATGCAAGAACAATTGAGGGAGTTAATGCTTGCGATGCATCAACTCAATTTACCACCACAAGGAGCAACAAGAATGGTAGGAAGTGAAGATATAGAGATGATTGGGGCTGCTTCAACATCTGCACCAAACCATGTCCCTTCTCCCAGAATGGAACACCCTTCGAGT